AGCCCTTTTAATTTTCTTCTGATATTCCTAGGAGGTATTTAATGGTCTATGGCCACAATCTGTAGGCATACCTCAGAGATATTGCTGGTTCCACTCCAGGCCATCGCAATAAAGAGTGTATGGCAATAAAGCAAGTCGTAATCTTTTTGTGTGTGAAGGGTTTTGTCTTCCACTTGCAAAAACATGCCTGTGACATGCAATAAAGCAGAGCACCACAAAATGAGGCATGCCTGTACATTGCATGCAATTGGCATTGACTGAGGTGTAGAGCCACTTAACTGACCAGGAGCAATGATGGATGGAACTGGGGAGTGGATTGATGAGTTTTTAACAAGTAGTTGATTTAAAAGTCGTCATCAGTACTACATTCAAAGGTCATCATGTGGCACCAAAGATTTAGAAATAGCTAGACTTTTTCGAAATTGAATAACTGCGGTGTGTTAGAAAACCTTAGAATTTTAAGCTCAAAAGGAATCATCATTGCTTTTAGGCAACTCATGATCTATTGCTTATTTCCCTCTGCTTCAGTTTCTCTTGCTAGATGCAATTCGAAATTTTTACTTTTTAAAACTGCTACTGTGGAATGAAGAGGACGGCACAGTCCAAAGTAAGAGAGAACTAAGCACAGGTCCCACCTGAAGTGGGCACAGACATTGTGTCTGTGGAAGGCCCTCTTCAAAACTATAATAAGCAAATACTTTTAGGTCTTAAATGACCTGAAAGGCATTGCTGAAATGCCATTTTGGATTATAGATGTAAAAAGCTAGCACAGTGAAAGATGAGGAAAATCACTTTATATTTTCTAACATTGAACATGGATTGAGTTGAAATGAATCATTCGTTTCAGCTTGAGAAATAGGCCCATGACCGGCTTCTGGGATACCGTGCAATCTCTTAACGAGAAATGTGCACACTGGGTATGTCTAGTTGTGCTGAAACTTGTCCTGTGATGAGGGAAGATGTTTAGGCAGTGAGATCTCACCTTAGTGCTCTTTAAACAAGGCACATGAAAAAGATCAAGCAACTTCCACACAGAGTATGAAACCATTTGCTTCTCTAGAAAAACAAAATCTCAATTCTGCATTATTTCCTAAATATCTTATCCACAGAGCAGCCAAAGAGAAACCTCCCCAAGATTTGGCATTCTGGTGTTCTTATCTCACATGGGAATGGAGTTCACATGGGAATGTCTCATGTGGATTGTTTTATGTTTTTGTTTTGCAGTTGTAGTAATTGGACAGTATCACTCATCTTGGTCATTTTAATTATTTCATGAATCCTAGCATTTGTGATGTTGGTTTTTATCTCAGTCATATTTAATTTTAATAAAATGAAGGAAACTTGATTGTATAAGGTATGTTTGTCACACAAATAGTTACTGATCAGGCAAGTACTCTCTCAACAGAGCCATCTTCCAATCACACAGAGCAAGCAACAGGAGAGTCAGGAGATGCAACACAAACTTTTTTAATATCTGAGGAATGATTTAATGGGTGCATGGAGAAGAGGCTTGGTATACTTCAATGGCCAAAAGCTTTCTTTGCCTCACTGCTTAATTAAGCTCTGGAAACAGAGTACCCCACATTGCCATGATTAGAGACTGATTTTATTAATCCTAAACCTCAATAAATACTTCCTTTAGGAAAGGACAGGCTTTGCAATAACCGGTGTGTTTCTGCTACCCATTCTATGCCACCTCAGACTCCTGGCAGGTCAGATTTCCAGGCCGAGCAACGTGGCAGGTCTCTGGGAGGTTCTGCTGTGGGAAAGTCAGGATTTTCAGAGATGATCCCTTAAGAGTACAGTGTCTCAACTGAACTCAGAAAAAAGAAGAAAACATGTGTAGAGACTGATTTTATTAATCCTAAACCTCAATAAATACTTCCTTTAGGAAAGGACAGGCTTTGCAATAACCAGTGTGTTTCTGCTACCCATTCTGTGCCACCTCAAACTCCTGGCAGGTCAGATTTCCAGGCCAAACAACGTGGCAGGTCTCTAGGAGGTTCTGCTGTGGGAAAGTCAGGATTTTCAGAGATGATCCCTTAAGAGTACAGTGTCTCAACTGAACTCAGAAAAAAAGAAGAAAAACATGTGTACCTTCCCAGTATACCTCCTAGAGCCTTTCCGAGCCCAAATATGTTTATAAATGATGTTAATACATAATGTTAAATAATAATAGCATCCAATGCTTGTACAGTGTTTATTATATAGTCCCTATGAGCTTTTTAAAATATATGTATGTATTTGCTTTTTTATTTTGGTATAATATGCATAACATGAAATTTACCATTTTGATCATTTGTGTATAGTTCAGTGGCATAAAGTACATTCACATTATCGTGCAAACATCAAGACCTCCTAGCTCCAGAATTATCATCTTCTCAAACTGAAACTCTATATCCATCTCCTTTCCTCCCTTTCTCCAGCCCCTAGCAACCACCATTCTAATGTCTGTCTCTATGAATTTGACTGCTCTAGGTACCTCTTATAAGTGAAATCATATCATATTTGTCCTTTTGTGTTGGGCTTATTTTCACTTAGCATAATGTCCACAAAATTTCAATCATGTTATAGCATGTGTCAAGTCTCCTTCCTTTTTAAGGCTTAATAATATTCCAGTATATGTTTATACCACAATTTATTTATTCATTCATCTACCCATGGACATTTGGGTTGCTTCCACTTTATGTGCTTTTCATATATTTTTTAAATGTGCCTTTATTATTGAGAGTATTACAGATGTCCCCCATTTTTGCCCCATTACCCTCCCCCACCTGGCTCCTGCCCCACCCCAGGCCTTTACGGCACTATTGTCTGTGTCCATAGGTTATGCATCTATGCATATAAATACATATTAACTATTTTAGTCCTCATAATGTGTCAGTGACGTGGGGATCTTTATTATCCCCATCTTATGATTTAGAAATAACTGAATCATGAAGAGATCTCAGTCAGGATTCTCTGGAGCAGTATTCCTCCCCAGGCTGAGCAGGCCCACACTCCCTGCTCTCAACCACTATCTACCCCACTGCCCTGGAAATGACTTAATAATCTAAATAAAGCACATGCCAGTTAACCAACCCTTGATACAGCACCCTAAGGCCATGCTTCTGGCTTAATTTGTACCAGGTTTAAAACCTACAAGAAGTCATCAACTTGGCACCTGAGCCCCACAGCAACTGATTTAGTTTTCTGGGGAGGAGAGGATATTCTTTGCTTTTCCAGAGGCCCCTTCTGCTTGGATAACATAATCCTAAGTATGACTAGGTAGGGCATGAGAAAGTAATTTAAACATGCTAATAAGAGCTACCATTTATGAGCCTACTGTGTGCTGGTGATGTTGGCTTACATCATGTCAAGTTTTCAAGTGCTTTGTGAGCAGTTACCCTTCTGTCGCTCCCTGTCCCATGCTTTCCCAGTATTCCACACTGCTTGTGCTCTCTCTTCAGGGAGAAAACGGAACATGAAATTGCCATATTGCCTGACATGCACATTTTCTTAATGGTTTGGTGTTTACAAATATAATTTTGAAATTTTAATATTTGTCCGACGCATGTCTTTGATTGACATGAGCAGATACCACCTTTAATGTTTAAATATCACATTTGGTTTATTCAGTAAAATGATTTGGCCACAATTTACATTAGCTATTTGTAGAACTGTTGCTATGGATTGAATTGAGTCCTGCCCCACCCCCTCATATGTTGAAGTCTCAATACAATAATATTTGGAGATGGGTTCTATGGGTGGTAATTAGGGTTAGCTGAGGTCATGAGGGTGGGGCCCTCATGATGGGATTAGTGCCCTTATCAGAGGAGACACTGGTGAGTTTGCTCACACTCTCTCCATGCTAACACAAAGTGGAGATCCTGTGAGCACACAGTGAGAAGTCAGCCATCTACAACCCACAGAGAGAGCTCTCACCAGGGACTAACCATGCTGGCACCCTCATCTTGGGCTTTTATCTCCCAAAACTGTGAGAAAATTATTTTCTGTTGTTTTTAAGCTACCCAGGCTAATATTTTGTTATTATAACCCAGAAGACTAACATAACAATGTAAATACATATATGACATATTCTCAATTTATAAAAACATGGTAATCACAGGTAATATTTATGATTGCTCTACTCTGGAACTAGTCCTAAGCTAAGTTCATTTAGCTAATCCTCCTATAGGGTGTGTGTGTGTGTGTGTGTGTGTGTGTGTGTGCATGCATGGGAGGTAGTGTAGTTATAACATTATCACCATTTTATAAAAAGAGAAGTTGAAGTGTAAGGAGGTTCAAGGGCACACAGTAAAAACCAGAATCCGTATCCAAATGAGACAGTTTTAACTCCAGAGCCTGTTCTATTAACCATAGCGCAGATTTTATCCTTGACTCTTCTGTGTATGAAACGTGAATCACAACATGAGGCCTGTACGTAACGACTTTCCTGACAGCAGATGCAGTTTTCATGAGGAAGCTTGTCAGTAACAAGTGTGTCGATCTATCTAAACTCAGTCTCTGCTAAAGTCACTCCATGCAGTTACTTTCATGAACAAATCTGAAAACTGAGAATAACATTGCTTCTTTAAAAAAACAACACAACTGTCAGTTGCATAAACAGTTGTTCTGGAAAGCAGTGCTGGTATGCACATATCCAGTTTCTCAGAGCAGAAGCCTCCCTGAGAGCAGCTTCTCTCTTCACAAAGAGATGAAAAGTAGACTCATGAACTCTGGCCAAAATTGTGACTTTATTGCAATTTACCTCCCACTAACCAAGATTCTTCTTTTTGGCCCCCTTTTCCATTTACTCTATTAATCATTACCCAGGGTCTCTAAGCTGAAATATTCTTCTCCCCTAACATATATACATTATTAAGTTATAAAGAAGCTGATGCATGCTTTCTTCCCCAGAAAGCCCACCCTGCACAGACATACAGGCCACCAGCGTTTCAGGTCATGTGTTTCAAGGTTCGTTGGGGACATGAGACTGACCATCCTCTTGTTTCCCACAGAGCTCCAGGACAACACGCTCCGAGGAGGACAGGGACAGCCTGTGGGACGCCTGGGGCTCATGGAGCGAGTGTTCACGCACCTGCGGTGGGGGCGCCTCCTACTCATTAAGACGCTGTCTCAGCAGCAAGTAAGTCCTATACCAGTGATGGCGAACCTTTTGAGCTTTGTCTATCTTCAGCTAGGTATTCTGTGTACTCATACAATAAGCAATACACAATTTATCCCATTTACCAAGAAAATTTTGTTAATGTTTTTAGGTTAGAACTAGAAGGAGAACTTAATAGAAATGGATCTAGTACCTTTAGCTCTCTGTTATGTTATACTTTTTGCTGTTTTAATCATAGTGACAATAGTAGCAACAATATGAACATAAATAGAGTGTATGTTGGATTCCAATGTTACCAAATCCTTTGCAAATGAATGGTATATTGGTTTAGTTTTTTAGATATTGGAATGGCCAAAGGATTGGAATCCTTTGCAAATAAATGGTATATTGGTTTAGTTTTTTAGATGTTGGAATGACCTTTCCTAAGGTCATTCATATTAATGGATTTTGACTATAAGAAGATTTGGAAGAATATATAAGCAGTGGGAATCGGGGCATGCATAGTGAGAGTGATGATGGTGGAAGTGAGAGTAGTTAATGACTTCTCAACTGAAAAGAAAAGGCCTAAGGTGTTGCAATGGAAAGTCTTTACTTACAATAATAATTCATAGCCACTTCTTGAGTTGTGTGGTCTGTGAGTAGATTTTTCTCCAAACTGTAAAATATAAAGTACGTACCCTGGTAATATTTTTCAAAGAAAGATTTTATTCCACAGTGAAAAGTGTTATATGTGGAAGCAAAAGGTTTGGTCAAAATTATTACATATTATAAAGCATGAAACAGAATAAGGAAAAAACATACACCTCTGATTCTTCTAGACTTTTCATAAACAGCAGAAAGTGGTGAGATGTAAGTTCAGGAAAACGTCAACTTATTCTAACAAGAGTGAGAATTTCTTGAAAATCGGGGTCTAGTCTTATTCCTTTTGTATTCCCCAGGCTTGCACAGGGTCTGACAGATATCAGGAGCTCAACAGATGTTTCTTCACTGGATCCAATGATAACTACAGATCATTTTGGTTCTAGACACAGGTCCAGTGGAAATGATACACCCTGAAAAAAATGGCCAAAGGGGATATCTTGAAGGAAACCAGAGCTATTCTGGTATTTAGCAGTTCTGATGTTTGGGTCTGCACGGAAGGTGGGTCTATTGGGTTGTAGCCAAGTTTGTTTATCTTCTTTAGTGGCCAGCTTCATATCAAACCAGATCCCCAAGCTGGTAAGAACAGACCTTTCATTTTTATGTCTCACCTGTTCTCTTGATCTGCACTACATGATGCTACGTGGCGATAGCACTCTGAGGCATAACTGATAATAAACATCCACCAGGAAGGCCAAAGTGTACAAATGTGGAATGTCCGTATTATGCAGCTTTATCAAATTAGCATGCTTGAGTGTTCTTTAGGGATGAGCCAAAACATGTGTCTCACAAAGCTAGTAAGAAATGCATGGGAACGTTCATGTTGGCTCAGTGAATGTGACACTGTGAGAATATTTTATTGAGTGAGAGGCTGAGAAGCCACTTAAGGAATAAATTAATATCACAAGTAAAACTCTGTCATTCTGCATTTTACCAAATATTGGTGTTACGTGAAGTTTAAAAATACCATTTTTGCCACATGGTAAATTAAGACTCCAGTTGTTAAGATGTTATAATACAATAGAAGGTCTCAGTTGTCATCTACCGATAATGAATTGTGAAAGTGGAATATGAAGTCTAAAATTATAAATTTATAGAATACATAGCTTTAATTGACTTTCAAATTACATCCAGTAAACACATACGGGGCTAGAAAGGAAGGTTTAAAATAGGAGTGGAGTGGACCACCCGTGTTCTAGGGACTTGATGAAGGGAGGAGCCTCCAAACAGAAGGCATAGCCAAATCCAGTAAGAACATAATGAAATACTGAAAGAACGGTCTGAAAGACTGGATTGACATATGTGTCGTTTGTCCCAAGAGAACTAGAATAGTACAGCTGAGTGTAAACTGACCTCACAACACAACCCCTATTGAAGAATGGTGTCAAAACATGTTCTGGGGTACAGATAAATAATCCTGTCATGATTTTTTTTAAATGCACATTGGCCAAAGTAAGTCATCTGGCCAAGCCTAGAGTCAAAGTGAGAAAGCAAAATTATTACATGGAAAGCATGACAGGTAAGGAGGGTGAAGGATTGGGATCATTTTTGCAATCTACCATGATCGTCTATGGCAAGCATGTCAAACTCAAAGGCTAACACTGGCCAAATAAACAAGGCATGCAGCCCACGGGCCTTGAGTTTGACATGCTTGGTCTATGGCTTTCATGTTTGTTTTATAATGGCTTTTCTCTCATCTCTGCACCACAAATTTAGGCATTTGAAATCAGTTCAGTCACCTTATACTCTTGGGAAAGATCAGAGACTATGAATGTATGTGTCTCTAGAACCCCAGCAGGTAACTGGAATGTGTGGGTAGTAGTATAATGGTAGGCATTCAACTTCAGCCCAAATAAATTCCACCCACCTGCTGAAATTAACCTGCCAACCCAGTTTCTTAGCCCTGGTCCTAGGCTCTCTTAGGGCACATTTAGTTGTAATCTTTTTAACTCTACCACCTAAAAATTATTCTACTCCCAACATGATAGAATTGTAAAGAGAGCTACAATACCCAGTTTTATTCAATAGATAACTGCTCGGCTTCTGGAGTTCGTGATGTTTCCTGTGGATTGGGAGCTTGTAAGGAGGCTTGGTTAACCTTCTGAGCTGATAACATCTTCTCTGAGTGACTGTTTTGTGGATACAGGGATACAAAAAGCAGTGGAGGCAAAACAGAGCAAAAATACAGACAAGCATTAAATATTAAATCCTTCACTCTCAACGGGCAGTGCTTTAATGCTGGGGGAAACCTCTGACCCGGGAGATACTGAGCAGAAGTCTTCCCTTGGCGTCTCCCTCATCCTTTCCCCGAGGCTCACAGAAAGTAAGCAGTGCTTGATATTCCCAATTTCTGGTTTTGGAGCTTTGATAATTCTCTTTACATGCAACCCTGTTTTGAGCACTGAAGAAAGGCACTATATCAACTTTTTTCTACAACATTTACTGATTTCTATAAATTATATTATGTTTTATTGAGCAACTCTACTAATGCAGCTGTTGCTAATCTTGTATAACCAAGTGGCACTATAATGTCTGCTTTTATTTTAATTAGAAAACAGACTAGATCTACTTGTACTTTATGATGGTTCTTTATTTTATTTCAAGTGAATTAAACAATGTACCCACAACCGGAAAAGCTGCTTCTTCTCTTCCCAGTTCTTCACCTTTCCCACTAAATCCTCTGAAATAACAGTTTTAGCAAATTCATTTTCCTTGTTGACCTACCTAGTGTGTGTTCTTTAGTGGAAACAATCCTTCTTCAACCTAAATTACTTAAGCATATTTTTAAAAATTTGATACTAAAGATCTGTCTCTGAGAGCTCTAGGTTTGTCTTCAGCCAGTTAATTTAGTTTTGCCCGTAAGGAGTTCCAGATGCATAAGGCTCTTAGGAACAGTGTGTTTTAATGTGATATATACCACTGTAGTAGGTCTATGCCAAGACCAAGGTCAACAGGGGAAACTGCTCCTTATCTGAAATGGCAGTGGGTCAGATAGCTGATGCTCTTAAATGTGATGTCTCCGGTGCATTGGTGACTGAAGATTTAAAGGTCTTTTATGACCTTTTTTACTTTATAAAATGCCAGGTTAATATGCAGATTAGTTAGTACTGTGGCTTAATGAATTAATTAATATATTAAAAATATAAATATTTTGTTAAATCCCAATGGATTAAGTGAAGGGCGTGTCAACTTCATATATATCCAAAGAGCAAAAAGCAGCCTACCTAGAAAATATGAAAGCACTTTTTAAAAGTTAATACATTTTGAGTTGAATAAAAAGTTTTTGAGTTGAATAAAATGGTTAGATAAACAAAAGATAAAATCATCACACTATGGAGGTGCCTAAAAAAGTCAGGTTATGATGTTATTCCAAAGGGATATGGCTGCCACAGTGGTCTCAGTATAAACACAGAGAATTAAAATAAATAACCTCAAGGAGTCTTCTCTCACAGGAATGAGGAAGATCATTCTAATCACCTCATTTCATAATAATTGAGCTAAGGGAGGGAGGGCTGAGTTTTTCTGATTTTTTTTCATTGCAAAGAATTTTTCTCCAATAAAAATATTGATAGTTAACACTAACATAAACTTTAGTTAGCAATTAATTTCTATATCACATAATAATAAATACCAAAAGAAAAAAAATTAATGTTCAGATTTAGCTTCTTAAACAAATATTTTTTTTTACAGTTATCTCATCTCTGTCATAACATCTAATTAAGGCTTGTTTCAAGACGTTTCAGAACTTTCAGTTCAAGTGAGCCCCAAAGCGGGATTAATCTGTTTTTCTTCATCTAGTATTGCATGTTATCAGCCTTGTTTTCCTTGGAAATGTTCGAGTTTTTGTTTAAAGGAAAGATATACAAGTTCAGAGGGGGTCTGACTCTTCATGTCTTTTATACGAGGTGGTCTTTTCATTGTGTTAAAGGAGGTTTCACATTTTGGGATTTATGTTTGAGAGTTTGCGGTTGCCTTCCTTTTACTTTTTGGGTCAAAGCCTAGTCTAAATGTATTACCAAGACTTCTAATATTCCAGGCCATATATCTTAGAGGAATGTTTTGTTCCAAGATCTGATCTTCTTTCAAGGGGAGAATCCACTCAGGCCAATGACTGAATGTTTGGGACCAATTTATGGCTTGGTTTATCCCATAAACCTGTTTGTTGGAATAAAAGATGTTGAAAATGTGTTTGGTGTCCATAACCTTTACTAGCCATATTGGGACTCTGTAACTATTGGCTGTCTCTTTCTCTTTATTTAAAAATTCCTTATTTGGTTAGTTCAATTGCCTTTCTGAAGTTTTTATTCCTTCACAATTTTCTTTTTTTTTCTTTCACTGCTGTATTGTGATATCTTTGAAACGTAAAACATATATATTTAAGG